GACTGCTCACGAAAGCCATCAAGCCGTTTGTCATGGTTTGGGAATTAGGCTTCAGCCTTTGGAGCCGTGTCGAACATCCAATCTGCTAAACCCGGAAAGAACGTCGCTCCCCAAACCTATTAAAGCGAAACCTCGACCAGTCAAAGAGCTTACGTAAAATCTTCCAACCTCTGACAACCGCTTTACACCCTAGCTCTAACACCATAATCCGATTCCCAAACCCGAACCTTAAGCCCTAAACCCCAACCAACCCTAAATTCTAGATCAGTCTATCTCCTCACAAAACAGAGCCCTCGGTGCCAAGGAGCCGAACCAATCCGAGGGATCCTCGCCAAAGGCCCGGCTGGGCTCGGCCGCCGCGCCAAGCCCCAGGGTGGCCTGGTGGGAAGCGTTCTGTATGGGACTGCCTTTGTGGTGGAACTTAGGGGATCCTGAAGGAGTTTACGGCGATGCATAGGGTTCGCCGTGTTTGTATTGAGAGTCTATGGAGACTTTGAGGATGGTTCAAAGTCTTTATTGGGTTTATGAAGGGCTTTGTGGGTGGAGATTCTGGCAGAACTTCTTGTAAAGGGTGTTGAGAAAGAGTTTTCATAAAGGGGAAAGTTGTCGACAATAAGGGCCTTGAAGGGCTTTGGACAAGGACCGTTGAAGGGATCTTTAAGGGTGTACAAGCCAGCCCAGAAACATCTGCTTGAATCCTGAGCACGAAACCCCCTCACATCAAAAGCACTTCAAACCCAGGATCCTGGATCCTGGACTCCAGATCGGATCGGAAGGGATCCTAAGGCCCAACCTTTTGCTTGCTGGTGTAGAACTGAGAGCCAAACCGCGGCAGCAAGCAGTGCGCTGCGGCGTGCAGTAGGCGCCTCTGCAGCACTTGCACCCGGTCATCTTCGTGAACGGGATAGACATAGATCGTATATGCATGTACATACATGTTATCATTATACACACACATATATATATATATATATGTACATATGTATGTACATGTACATATACATATACATATGTATATGTGTGTGTGTGTGTGTATGTATGTCTGTCTGTCTGTCTGTCTGTATGTATGTATGTATGTACGCGTGAAACTTATTGTTTGATGGCGACCTTGATCTACAAGGAGGGTATGTACTGGTAAATCTTCCAGGGTTCAAACTTCACTATGCTTTTTTGAAGGATAGGATATGACGCTAAAGAATCGTAGGATCTGGGATTTAGGGGGGTTCAGGGCTTAGGCAGTTTAGCTACGAACGTCCTGCAAGCCCAATCATTCCCAAGCAAGATACTGTGCAGTGAAAACCAAAATACATCAAGGAAACAAGCCCTGAACCCTAAACGCAAACGCTAAACCCGAAACCCTTCGGTCTAAACCCCCAACCCTAAAAGCCCCCAAGCCCCCAAATGCTGCTCGCCTCTGCGGAGGGCGACAAGAAGGCAAGTCCTCGCAATCGAAGAAGTCAAGGATTCATGTGAATACTGAATTCTAGTCTCGCATTAGGGTTTAGGATTTTGGGATTAAGGTTTAGGCTGCTAGTGATGCTGGTAGTTGTAGTAATTTTTACTAGTGCTAGCAGTAGTCGACGTAGTAGTAGTAGTAGTAGTAGTAGTCGTAGTCGTAGTCGTAGTCGTAGTGGTAGTGGTAGTGGTAGTGGTAGTGGTAGTGGTAGTGGTAGTGGTAGTGGTAGTGGTAGTGGTAGTGGTAGTGGTAGTGGTAGTGGTAGTGGTAGTGGCAGTGGTAGTGGCAGTGGTAGTGGTAGTGGTAGTGGTAGTGGTAGTGGTCATGGTAGTGGTCGTAGTAGTAGTAGTAGCAGTAGTAGTAGTAATAGTAGCAGTAGCAGTCGTCGTAGTAGTAGTCGTAGTATTCTCCCACCCCCAAATGTGCAATCGCCTACTCACCAATTTTCCAAAGGATTTCCACATATGCCAAAATCCCGAAAACGAGAACGACCCAATTCCACGCACACTAAAGCACCGATAGATCTGCAGTAGAACAGGTGGCAGCTTGAAAAAATCGGGCCTAAGACTTCGGGTTTAGGGGACGTAGCAGCTAAACAGAGGTCTTGACGACTCTTGCAGCCTAGGGGTTATATCAAGTGATGTCTGGGCCTAGCCTAACAACACCGGTTGGTTGTCGCGGGGGCTGCATCATCACGGATCCCTCCAATCGTAGATACCCCAATCAGTTCCGCTTGTGAGCCCTTTGCGACACGTCTACCCCAACCCTCAACTCTAAATCCAACCCCTAAATCCTAAGCGGTCCTAAGCCTGCAACCCTAAACCCCAAAACCCTGTCAGCGAAACACTAAGCTGTGCCTGCCCAAGCAAGGAAGGCTCCAGCGAGCAGCGCCCCGCAGAGCTGGGAGTTGAGGCTTGGAAGGGGTTTAGGATGGTTTAGGGTTCAGGGTTTAGGGCTGCGGGCTTCTGGTTTTAGGGTTGAAGGTTTCGGGTGTAGGGGTTTGCTTCAGAGAATGAAAGGTTTTAGGCTTCAGGGTTTTAGTACCTGGTCCCGAGTCGTCCTGACACTTATACTGTAGGATGATTGTAAGTGCCCGAATTCAGGTTGTCCTGCTTTCAGCTAGCCAAAAGCCTACTTGCTTGATCTTGCTTGTCTCTGCTGTTGCTGGTAGCCCAAGGAGTAGTTTAGGATTGGAGGGCTTGTGGCTTCAAGGGGTGCTTAACTTACGGTCCTCGCGTACTGTGCGTGAATGCGTTTCTCGGGGGGCGGTCTTAGTCGACTCTAGTTGTTAGGCAGTGTTCTTTAAAATCGACCGCGCTCTAAAACCTAGATGCCTGAAGGCCACACCTTTAGCCGCAGGCCCTGGATCCTAGATCCTCGCCGAGCCACCAATATGGAGCACCAAGCTAGAAATTCCAGAATCTGAATAACAACCTTAAACTTCAAGACCCTGAACCCTAGGGCCCGCAAACCATACACCCTCTGCCTATGATCTAAAGCAGTTCAATGGGAGGGACGTTGCAGAAGGCTGCCTCTTATTACCTCTTGACCAGGGGTCGGCGGCTGGGGCCAAACACATTACACGGCGTCCGTTTCGAGTTTAGGATCCAGGGCCTAAAGCTTACGGATTCAATCAAGGATGTCGGACTTGAGGCATAAACTCTAACTCTGTTTTCGCTCAAGGTTTCAGGCGTTCGGGCGAAGGATCGGGGTTTACGATGCTTGGCGAAAACTCGCGGACTCGCTGTCGGGAAACCTCCAAAGCCTTATCTGAACAATCAAAGGGGAAAAGGAGGGACCCTTAATGGGGACCCCTACCCTATAATGGGCTATATAATGGGTATATTATGGATATGTACCTAGGGGTCCTTATTAGGGGTCCCTCCTTTTACCCTTTGAAACAACTAGAGTTAAGCGTTTAGGGTCTAGGGGTTCAGGCTGCAAGGTTCAGGGTCTGGGGCTTACCACCCACACTCTCCCATACAGCACGAGCAGCGAAAGCTCCTCCAAAACAGTTCGCTTGCAGTAACTGTGGGATCCTCCAAACAAGAGCGTTCCTACGACGACAAAGAGAGTCCCTGCGGCAACAGAAGGACTCTCACAACCCAAGAATAACAGACCCTGTCCCTCAAAGCCTGAAAGAAAGCCTGAACCCCCACAAACCCCGACAAGAGGAACCCCTACTTGCAAGAAACTCCCATTGAAGAGTCTAGCCACCGGTCGTCCCGTTCGCCGCACCATGCTGGAGACCTGAATCGAGGGCTTCGACACTGGAGTTTGTGTGCTATGTTGGTCTTGGTTGTTCCTTATGGGGCTGCTCTTGGGTTGTTTTGGATAGTGTTATCAGCTCTCATCGGGCTTTAAGGTTTCAGGGTTAAGGGTTTGGGCGTCTCTTCTCGGACATTGGCTAGGGCTTGGAAAACCAGCACCGGCTTGTCGGTTTGTGTAGGTTTTAGGGCTGGGACCCTCGACCCTGAACCCTAAAACCCAAACCCCAAAACCCCATTATAAACCCTAGGCCCTAGTACCAACCCTACACCCTATCATCCCATTATCAACCTAAACAGCACTCAATGCCATGAATCAGAAACCTTACACCTAAAAGCAGGGCTGAAGGCCTTGCCCGCAGAACGGAGGTTGGCACGCCAGCTTGGGCCGACACGTTCAGGTCAGGGCATCTCGAGTTGAGATCTCAGGTTCAGGGTTCAGGGGTTTGTCGCTTAGGGCTATACCCTCCATCAGTGTGTGTGAAGATCTGCGGCTTGCTCAGAACACTCTTCGGCTCCAGGTTCAGTATGCGCAAGGGTGAAGAAATTAAGTAGATGGTAACTCCGCACTGCTCAAGGTGGGTTGCATTGCTCCTCGCGGTAAGGATGGCATCTCGCCGGCACTACAAAGCGATCATCATCCCGGCGGCTGCTCGTGCTTGATTGCAACAAGGCCCGGGTAGTTTAGAGTTTTAGGGTTTCGGGTTCTTGCACTCCTTGACTCCTTGTCACAACACCACTGTGACGACCGGTACTGCATCAATAGAGCTCACCAGTGGCACATGTCTAGCAAATGGCGCACAGATGCCTAAACCCTAAACCCTAAACCCGAAACCCTAAGCCCTAGACCCTAAACCCTAAACCGTTAATACTCTTGGAAGTCTTGGAATGTCCTTGTCCACGACACCGACAAGCGAAAAATGGAACCCAAACCCCAACAAATGATGAACACCCGGATCGTCGATCACTTCCCTTCTTCGGGCTTCTCGGTTGCAGGGCAAGCGCTCGTGACACGGGTCAGGGCTTTAGGGCTGAAGGCTTGAAGACCATACCCGACAAGCTTGAAACTCAAGAGGTCGATCCCAAATCGAGAGCCAGACGACGAGCCCTAAACCCTCAAGCGGCGAAGTCAACAATGCGTCACTTTTGCCGCTTCGGACCGGGCTGACAGTTGAAGTGCCTCTCCGAGCGTCCCTGGCTTCCGAGCATTGGGTAAACACTGAAACTCGTGAGATGAGCGCACTCCACAAGCCAGGCATCTCGGTCCAACAGGGTCTCTAAGCGTTTGGATGCTTCATCGGCGCGTACGACTCTTCCCTCTGCCCGGATGCGACGACCGGAAGCAGGTCAAGATACAACAGCTTGTATGCTGCTCCGGAGACGGTGTAGATGCTCATGAGGATGGAGAGCGAAAAGCTGGCCACAGCATACGTGCTTGAAATCGAGACATAAGGATATGCATACACCTGGAGCATCAAGCTCAGAGGTGCTTCTACAGACTTCTCGGATCTCGTAACCTTCATAAACCCATCACTGAGCATGCCAGCACTGATGCTCTCAACTGCTTCCGAATACATCTCTTTCAGGCTGTGGTTGGCTGCCTGCTGCCCTGCGGACCAGAGGAGGATCGCCAATGCCACGGCACCGAAGAATCGATGACCTGCCAGGAAGAAGGTCGCCACGCAGCTCGAATCCAGGAGGAAGTCCAGAGCCACCAGAAAGATGTCTTTGGCAACAAGAAGCTTCTGCATCAGGCCAGGCGTCGCAGTTTCGTCCTGACGGATCGTTCCCAGTCACGGCTGGTGCCAGAGGCTGTGGGGGAAACGTGGGAAACTTGGGCTTGGCTGCAGCTGAACTGGATCCCGGGCAAAGGGTCTGAAGGGACTTGGGCTGGACGAGTCAGGGGGTGTCCAGGCCTAATGATTCCTTTTTCGATGCAGGCGGCCTTCGATTCCGTGGGCCTGGGATTGGCATCCGAACTGCAGCATGCCTCCAAGCCATAGAGGCAGAAGAGGCTCAACAAGGCAAGCATGGAAGCGCCAATGAGCAGGTCGATGACGATGCTAGCCGGTGAGCTTCTGTTTGCGAGCTGACCACCGGCGGCTGTCGTGCTCGCTAGGTAGTTGCACCAGCCACTTACGTACCAAGCGACCGTCTCCATGCACTGTGTGTAGGCCCAGGCAGGAAACCTGCCCTCTTCGCAGCTTTCCTGCAGCCACCCAGGGAGATGATAGCAATGGTGGCCAAGGTCCCTTGAAGAATGGAAGTGTGCCACCAAACGAAGTCGGTCGCGGCCGGGGTTCAAGACAATCAACCAGATGGGCGCGACCAGGCGCAGCCCAAGCGAGAAGAGCCGGAAGCTGCAGGAAGGAGTGGCACCACGCCTGAAGAAGAGGAGGATTGGGTCCTTCAGAGCGGCAGCCAGTCCTGTCACACTTCCAGACACGCTGGGAGGGGGTGGGCTTTGGGGTCGGAGCACTGAACAAGATGGGCTTCGCAATACCTCACCTTCTTGGACCGTCGCCACCAAGAGCAGCAGCCCGATGGCGATAAGGAGGAGGTAAGCCGTGGAGACGGAGGCAACGATGGGAATCGCAAGCCAAGCCATCACCTCCCAGGGGGCCGCGCCGCTGTGAAATCGCTGGCCTACGCCTACGCCAAACAACGAGAAGGGCAATGCCGACAAACTCTATTGAGCCCACCGTGCCTGGATTTATAGTTATCATTATAATGATTACTAATAGGTGGTATGATGTATACACTTAAGAATGAGGCGATTATGAAATTTCCAACATGTCCAAAACCGGAAAGCAAGGCTCAGTGAGCAAGTTGTCGGTTTCTGAGAGAGGTGGCTGTCTCCAAGGACGTTCAATAGACCTACATATATAGACTATGGAAAATTCAGGAAACAGGCAAACCCGCGATGCAACCCTAAATGCTGTGTAAAGATCCACTCAAAAGGGCATCCCCCCGTTCGTGTCTCCTTACGGCCCTGGAAAGATCTCTTCTACGAAAGAAAGCGGCCTCCAGCACGGTGGTTACATAGGCCAGCACGGTGCGACATGGAGCGACCTCTTTCGAAGCAAACTCCCGCCTTGCGGCTTCCTTCGAAATGTCGAAGGTCGGCCCAGCCATCCCGCTTAAGTAGGGGCTTCAGAAGATTAGCAGTGCCGTATTCAATGGCTTGAAAGATCTGAATCGGGGTCCCTCTGTCGTCTGAAACTCCCGAACATAGAGTTCAGCTATTGGATAAGGTCAGACTCGGGCCGAGAAGTCAAGGAGTCGAGCAGCTCGAGTGTCTCCCCAGCCTGACGCAGGTACGAAGATCTTGTCGGCTTGTCGACGTACGAAGAAGACACTCAGGAAACCTTGCCGAAAATTCAATTATTGCCTCACAAGAGATGGGATTATAGCTTGTAGGCCTTGCTTGCGTGTTCTGCGCATGTTGTAGCTGCGCGTGCCGGGGGAAAAACGAATCAAAACCTTGGACCCTCGGCTAGCGCTGCAAGTCTATTCTTTCCCTAACACCGCCTCTACAAAAGCGACCATGTTGAGTGTCGCTGACACGAGGGTACACGGGCCCCTTGGCATCTACCTCTGTGGAAAACATGTTGCACACGTAGAACTTGAAGAGTGTCTGAATTGCCCCGTAAAACGAAGCGCATTGCCAACAACCCCCCCTACTGTAACGATGCGAGATGCTGCGAGCCTGTTTGTTGTTTAAAATCCGGAAGAACCCGTCTTACGGAAAAAGCAAGGGCTTCTGATATCATCAATCGGATGCGCATAAAAGTCCATGGTTCAGCAGACGAGCCTACCTTTGCAAGATAACAGACGCGACAGAACAGAAACTCGGAACCCTAAAGCCTGAAACCAATAACCTGATTCGCCTCTTCAGTCTTGCAAGTGTCCTCTCTCGGTTGCAAGCACTACGACAGAACAGACACACAAAACCCGAAACTCGAATTCATGAGGCTGCGCTTCTCGCCTCAACCTCTGACGTGTTGCAGAAAGGAGAAAAGCAAGGCTCTTTGTTGGAAGCGAAGGAACTGCCGGCAAGTTAGAAATCGCTGCATTGATTTCCATTCAAAGCCTGCTGCTTAGCAGCGCGCCCGTGTCACTGTAACGAACCCCGAAAAAGCGCTTGGGAGGGTGGGCCGCGCGAAGGCGACCTAAAACATTCAAGTCTGGAGCCCGTGCATCCGAACGGTGGACGTGTTTACAGTTGATGCTGTGTCTCATCAGCTACAGTCTGTGCTGAAGACGGCCCGGCACTCACACTGACCAGCTTGCTGCATGAATACCCCTTCATTCATGAGGCTGCGCTTCTCGCCTCAACCTCTGACGTGTTGCAGAAAGGAGACAAGCAAGGCTTTTTGTTGGAAGCGAAGGAACTGCTGGTAGGTTAGAAATCGCTGCATTGACTTCCATTCAAGGCCTGCTGCTTCGCAGCGCGCCCCTGTCACTGCAACGAACCCACCTACCGGCACTGGCCACTTCAGCGGCCGAAAAAACACAAACGAATTTGCGCCAGCAGAGCGGAAAGTCATGCCAAGAATGTTGACGACCGCATAATATCCCAGCTTTGATGTACTGCAAGGGGGGCAGACTCGCAGCAACTCGTGCAGGAAGAGTCAGCACCATGCTTCTGCCTGCAGCATGTCGGACCCAGGGTCTTCGGAAGGACCCTTGATCCGCAGTATGCCCGGAAGCTTCCTGTCGAGTGTCAGCAGTTCCAGAATTGTACAAACTTATAACCAAATTCCCACCAAACAGCCCACAATGACGCACGTGACAAGTTGCACATCATGTTCCGAGGAACAGGGCTTGTCAAGGCGACATATGGGCTTCACTGTGCACTGCCAATGGCAGCCGGGTGTCAGCATGTCTTTTTAGCAGATCGTTTGCGACTCCTTCCGCGAGATGGGGCATCCGACGGGTTCTCCTGAGAGGGGACCAGAATCAGATGCAGTTGCAGATCGCCAGCCATGGTTAAAGCGGCCATCCTACGAAGCAATCTGTTAAGTTGCGAAGAGGATCTTCCTTTTGCCGCTGCTCCCAACCAGAAGGCTGAATCGACGAGAATCACGACTCGGTGAGAGTGGCGACTGCGAGATTTCAACAACCAACGCAAGAACAGAATGAAAGCTTCTCCTTCAAGCACGTTGATGTGAGCAGGATGCTTTCGCTTCACGCTGAAAACGTCACAAAAGTCGTTCAAGCTTACTTCGAGACGATGTGTTTCACCTGATCGGCAACGCTGTTCTGACGGGGAAAAGTCACCGTCCATCAGAATGTATGCACCTTGCTTCTCTGCCCACCGAGCCACTTGACGCACGGACTGTTCTGATGCCTTCAACATGGAAGCGCCGAACCCATACTCAACACTGGCATCGGTTGTGCCCAACATCTGTAAGAATGGTCGCCTGAAATCACAGCGCCAAAAAATGCCGAGGACGATGCTGCAAGCCAGCTCCCCGAGGACAGCAGCTGGCAGCTTCATGAGAGCATTCACGTTCGGCAAGCACGTGAAACTGTAAATGTCGCTGTAACCGGACAGCTTCGGGCGAACCAGCAAATCAAACCATTGCAGCACACCCAAGAGTTGTTGGACATGTTTGGGAGAGGCCTCCTTTCTGCAGTGCAGGAACAGAAACGTCACGATCAGCCCCAGGTATCTTGCCGCGGGGATGTCGAGGAAGAAACCGTCGACCAGGTCCACACCGACACATGTGGCGCACAGTGTATCGTTGACATCCATCTTGGCATTGCGCACAGCACCGCGCGAAGTGAAAGCATCATCCAGGCGAGCAGCGGCCTGCGACGTCACCCCTGCACCGGCCACGCTGAAAATCATCACGTCATCAGTAGCAGCAGCTGCCGTCAGATCGAAGGATGAAGGGGTCGGGCAATCACATGCCAGAAGCTGTCTTGTTCAAGGCCGGCGTGCTTGCAAAGATCCAAAATCTCTTCCTGGGCAATGTACGACGACTATGACAATGAGAAACCCATAGGCCACACATCATGCACAGGATAAAGTCTGCCTTTCTGCCAGCATTGGCCATCGTGCAACAGGCTCTGCTGCTCCGAAACGGACATTCCAGCCGCTTCAAGCTCGTCAGTAGAGACTGGGGGTTTTGCCATGAACTCCCGCAGCTGCTCAGGCAACCGCAATTGGTCCAACCAGCAGGAGGCATCACGTTTGCTCACTCGAACAGGCCGGTCAGGAGATGTCTCAAGGAAGGTGAGCGCAGTCGGCGACGCTAAAAGCCTCGGTTTCGGCGGGGTGACGGCGGCTTGCGAAACGCGTTGGCCATGCCACACCTCCCTCAAACGATCGCCACCCGGCTTGCCCACTGCCATGGAAGTGCCTCCACCTTTGCAACTAGAAGAAAGGCCCAACTTGGCAGATCTCAGCTGCTTTACGATCAGCTTCACGTACTCCTCTCTCCGGCCAGCCGAAAAAGCGTCGAAGATCTCAAGCGCGACGGGAGCTTTTGCGAACATCCTGGCAGAGTCGCTGATGATGGTGTGCATATCCAGCGGCGAAACTTTTGCCAAGAACCTTCGTCGACTGTCTGTAGGCGGTCCAGCATCGATTTCACTTTAGCTATCAAAGATGTCACAACAAGCAATGACCAAGTTGACAAAGCTTCGGAACACCGACCACCGCAAAGTCGACATGTCTACAGGCTATCCATTCCGTGGACGTCTCCCAGCAGAAATAGATCCTGCTGCCTGCCGGTCTTGCAGCACTTGGAAGCCAAAAACATGTATGCTTGTCCCGCTGTTTGAACCAAGAAGGCTACGGCTCTAGGGTGGCAAGGGGTTTCAGGGTTCACTGGCAAGGTTAAGGTACAAGGTAAAACAAGTTCGCAACATTCCAGACATGTTCAAACTGAATGCGCACTCACTCGGACTGGTCTTCATTTTGCGACGTGTGTCGGGACTCTCCGGATTCGGTCTGCACAGCCTACGGGCTTCAAGGAGAATGCATTGCACTTACGGCAACCGGCTGATCGAACAACCGGCAACAGCACCCCGCACATAGCAGACGTTGGCATGCAAGAGTGACACTTGAAACACAAGTGATGCCTTCGGCAGTAAAGGGTGGCGTGGGTGGGACACAAAATTTGTCCTCGTGCCAAAGTGGCAACGACATTCGTACAGTTGATCTGAGCTCAAGCAAAACACAGTTAGTGCAAACAAGCAAGAGGAACTCATGGCATTGCAATCTACGAAATTACCAAAGTACTTTCCAAGCGGCGCGAAGCCTGACGCAAAGTTTTTCACTTTTCCCCCGGCCCACCCTCCCGGCTCAAACCACGAGACAATCCTTTTGGGGAACCCAAACGGTTTGTCCCGCTGTTTGAACCAAGAAGGCTACGGCTCTAGGGTGGCAAGGGGTTTCAGGGTTCACTGGCAAGGTTAAGGTACAAGGTAAAACAAGTTCGCAACATTCCAGACATGTTCAAACTGAATGCGCACTCACTCGGACTGGTCTTCATTTTGCGACGTGTGTCGGGACTCTCCGGATTCGGTCTGCACAGCCTACGGGCTTCAAGGAGAATGCATTGCACTTACGGCAACCGGCTGATCGAACAACCGGCAACAGCACCTCAACTTAAGACCGGCCGTGAGAGAAGCCGACAGTCTCACCATTCGGTTTTGTCAAGTAACTTCTGTCTCTTCGTCACTTTCGGTTCAAATGCCTTTACACCTGCGAGCCTCGCTTTCTCTGACAAGAAATCGGTATGGGCCTCCCGAAGCATGTTGAACAAGTCCAGCGGGAGGTCAGACAATGACAAGGGAACCCGCAAGGCCTGATCAAAGTTGCTGGTACGAAGATTCGTCAGGTCATCTGCATCCTGGTTCTCCTCCCGCGGGCGCCAAGACAACCGGCACAACTTGTTGGCGCTCCTCAAAGACAGTGACAATTGCATATGCAGGCCCTGCACTGGCCACTTGTTGCTGATGCCCTTAGCCAACACTGCAGGAGTAGCAGAGTTGTCCGTGCCAGCATGAACCTGCAAGCGAAGCGAATCGCGGCCACCTGAAGTCTCAAGATGTTTGAAAGCAACCAAGCCGGCATAAGAGGCCAGCAACTCCGCAGCTGTAGATGCCCATTCAGAAGA